ATGCAGCTCTCTGAAGGTACTGAGGTACATTACATTGACAGAGCTGCCCGTGTCAACGTAAGTTCGGTGAATGATGGTGTCGTTGATCTCCGTCCGAATCACCAAGGCATCCCTGTGAGGAGAAGAAGTAGGAGGGAGATCTGCGTTGGTGAAGGTGATGGGTTCCTCCCTCAATCGCTTTACCGGGGGCATATGAGTGACTTCCTCTACGTAAAGCGATTGAGCCCACTTCTTCCGCTGGCTGGTGGAATCGCCTCCTGTATTGCCACCAGTGATCATGAGGATGTGGCGTTTCTTCTCCTGGTAGTGGGGGTATTCCTCCTCCTCTTCTTCCAAATTTCCGATCTCCCTCTTCTTGCCGAGGGGGATGGTGTTTGGATTCACCCAGGCATTTACCTTCGTATGGTGCCCTCGGGGAGGTCCCTGATGAGAAGGTCCCTCCTGCCGAGGGCTCTGGACAAACTGGGACAGGTGCCCTGCCTGTATTAATCTCTCGATGGCCGTCTTCAGCTGATGGCAGTCATCGGTCCTGTGCCCCTGGTGCCGATGGAAGCGACAATAGGGGAACTGAGGGTTGATAGCGTGTACCTCCGGGGGTGCGCGAGAGTCGCGCTCAACGAGGCCCCTCTCCTCGGCAAAATCGAGGATGGTGCTGACGGGGTGCGTCAATGGTGTCCGAGGGCGGTCCAGGAGAATGGGCTGGGCCCAAGTCTTAGGGTTTCTCTTATAACCTCCCCCGGGCTTGGCTTGGCCTTGCCGAGGGCGGTCATCGGAGGGTCCCGAAGACTTGGGGCGATTTGGAGGAGCCCCCGACCCTCGGTTATGCTTGTTGTCAGCCCTCGGGGGCTGCTGGTCCGGGTGTTGGTGATACTTCTCTACCTCCTCGGCCTCAGCATACCGGTCCCCCCGCTGCAAGGCCCTTATGTAGTCGCGGGGGGGTTCAATGATGAGGCTCCTTGAAAAGTTGCCGGTGCGGAGGACGGTTTGTAGGAGGGCCAGGAGGGTCCCGTCATCAGCACCGTCGACCTTGTCGGCCTCCGTCCTCCAGCGCTCTAGGAAATCCCGAAGGGTCTCATCCTTCTTCTGGCGTATTGTTAGGAGGTGGGAGAAGTGCTTCCTTGTGCGACGCCTCCCGGCGAATTGTGTCAAGAATCGTTGGGCGAGTTCTTGCCACGAATCAATGCAGCCCTCGGGCAGCCTGTTGAACCATTCGTATGCTGGCCCCTCTAAGGTGGAGAGGAACCAACGACACAAATATTCGTCTGACGCCCCCACCATCATCATGCTGTTCTGGTACTTGCTGTAATGTTCCTGGGGGTCCGTCTTCCCGCTGTAGGGCTGTATGTGTTGCCCTCGGTATTTCTCCGGGATCCGGGCCGCCAATACCCTCGGGGTAAATGGCGTCCGAGTCCGGAGCTGGATGACGGGTTCCCCGGAGCCCTCGGCCACTTTCTTCTGTAACTCCTTCATTTTGGCCATCATGGCCTCGTATTTGAGATCTGAGTGAGGGGTGGATGTGGTGGCGTGAGCTTTGTTGGACTCCATTTCGTCAAGCTGGCGCTGGAAGGCCGCAATAATCTCGTCCCGGGGGTCCCTCGGGAGGGTCTCCGCCCCCTGCGAACGAACCCGGGCCGAGTGGGCCTGGTTGATTTGGTGCCGAGCATCATCGGCATGAAGGGGTGCCTTGCCTTTGTCCCGAGGGGGACGTTCCTCGTCTGCCCTCGAAACAGATCCCCCGCTTTCCTGGGGCCTTTGGAGTGCTTTCCCCCCGAGGTGGTCTTGGACCCCTCGGCGGTCTGGCCCTCCTCCGAGCCGGTTGAGGGCGGAAGTACGGGGCCTCTCCCTGTCGTCATTATGGCGGTCCCGGGACTGAACTTCCTGGGAGGATGTTTCTTGGGCCACCACCCCTTCGTCGTTTCTCACCCGAGGGGTGGGATTTCCGAAGGGGTGTGGCAGAGGGGGAAGTATGATATTTTCCCCGATCTGAGGGTGAGCTGGAGCCAGGGTGCCGAAGGCACCCGGGTTCTGGGTGAGCGTTTGGATGAAGGCGGAGAGCGCCGATTGTACGTCGATGGTGAGAACCGGAGGGCTAACTTGGTCATCGCTCCGGTTTTTCTTCTTGGCCTCGATGCCGAGGCGGGCATCGGGGGCGTTTTGTTGGATCTGAAGGCGTAGGTCTACAGCCGCCTGTTCCAGCCCAGCGAGGACACCGCCCTCGGGAGCCCTGTGAGAGGCTTCGGGGGCGTTGACGTCGCTAAGGGGCAGGTTCTTGTCTTCTACGTTCTTTGAGTTGGCACGCGTTGTCCTCACCATTTTGATAGAGGGCTAGTGTTTTGTGTTTGGTCGAGGGGGAGGGTTTCTTACTCGATTGTTCAACCTCTCAACGAGAGCACCAAATGATGGATGGTCTACCCGGGGGTATATATCCGAAGGGTTATTACGGGGAATAACTTAGAGAGAAGTCAGAGTAAGTGAATAAAAGTAGAGAGAGAGTGTATTCAGTGTGTTATCACCTTTCAGCGTGGTTACAAATGAGGAAAAGGGTGCTATTTATAGTAGCAATAAATGCCGGGCAGGGACACGTGTCAAGCGCTCATTGGCCGAGGGGTCACCTCAACTGGTTGGCGCTGGCAGCCGCATGTGGCCGCATTTAATGCGGCTGTTGGATGGGACGTCTATGCAGAGTACGGTGATCTGTACGCATGTGAGGCGGATATCTTGTCGAGTGAGATGCCTTCGGCCATAGAGCAGTAGCCGAAGGCTCCTCCAACCGAGGGCACCTTGGTGCCGAGGGCTCACAGAACCGAGGGCTACTGTTTTCGCCGTTTTCTCCCAGTTTCCTAGTTTGCTTGAGAAACCCGTTCTGTGAGAGTTTAGACCCTTCGGTCAGGGGGCCGAAGGCACCCCTGGCGCGTAGTGCGGGCTGCTTGGTACTCTAGGCGCTGTGATTTGGGCCTGTCGGGCCTTTTGGGCCTGTTGGGCCTTCGCTGGAGTAGTAGGAGTCTGTGGGCCGGGGGTTCCCGGGCCATATACTCCATCAATGAGTAATTAGTGTCAAGTTTGAAAAATACTGCAAATTTTAAGGTCTTGTATTGCCAAAACATAACAATAATTACTCTTATTTGAAATATACAAGCATGACAACCCTATTTTGGAATAGACAAACGTTTTTGCTCTTATTTAGGGTAGGACAATTTTCCAAAAAAACTTATATTTAGAATATATTTTATTAATAAAATAAATAAAAAAATATATGAAAATAGCTGAAATGGTTCTCTGCAATAACTTATACCAATTCAACCTTATTTATTTTGATCTTTACGCACTTTAGTGCGCGAAATAAAAAGTTATGTTTAGTTTTGGTCTTGTAACTTTCTATTGAGCTCTTTAGTAGGCTTGCAACATTACTTCCTTGCACATTAGACTTTTTCAATGATGATGCCGACGTCTAAGGTGGACAAATTTGTCAATTACATGATCAAATCTACAAATGAATCAAGTAAATAACCAAAATTCGCACAAAAGAGATCGCGAAACTAAGTCTATATGTTTTGTTGTATGATTTTATGGATTTAGGATTTTCTATGGTTTCATTAGTGCAGAATCATAAGTATTCTTAAAGTCGCTATAACCGCATTTTAAAATCGTTGCAACCGCATTTGAAGTCACATTTTTCGTATGTGTTTTAAGTTTTAAATTACAATTTAAAAATTCTCGCATGAATCAAGTATTTTTAAAGTGGCCACAATCGCGTTTTAAGCAATAACTTCAAACACTTTTATGATTCCACATTAATAAATGGATTTCATTTGTTGTATGATTTTATGGATTTATGAATTTCTAGTTTTGTCACAAAATTAATTCATTAGTGTGGAATCATAAATATTTTTAAAGTCGCTACAACCGCGTTTTAAAGTCGCAACTTTCGTACGTGATTTAAGTTTTCAATCACGGTTTTTAATTTCTCGCGTGAAAAGAGGTATTTTGAAAGTCGCTAGAACCGCATTTTAAATGTATTTCATTTGCACGCAACACCGCAAACCAAGAAGTTAGAGAATGTAGTACAATCATACCTAATCATTTTGGATTACGTATAAATCCCGTTTGATAATATTGAAATTGACAGAATCTATTAATTATGCTTAAATTTATTTATGATGTTCTGGTTGAAGTGACTGATTCTTCTCAAACAATATATGAAAATAGCTAAAATGATTCTATACAGTAATTTATGTCAATTCAGTCAGGAAACTAACCCCAACCTTACTTAATTGGGAAAGTTCCCGAAATAGGACTACAACAATTTCAAAATTCCAAAATAGGACTGTCATATTTTTTATTCCCAAAATAGGACTACTTACTGCCATGTTTAGAAAATACTGACATGTTTGAAATCTGGTACTGTCAAAACGTGGCAGTAATTAGTTCTATTTTGGGAATAAAAACATGGCAGTCCTATTTTGAAAATTTTAACCTGTTTTAGTCCTATTTCGGGTAATATCTCTACTTAATTTGATTATTACACACTTTAGCGTACGAAATCAAAAATTACTCACTCCCTCCATCCCACAATGAGCTTCACGGTTTGACATACACACACATCAAAGAAATAAACTTACCATGAGGTAAATTTTACTGTTTTGACACTATTTCGACACTATTTGACACTATTTGGTACTGTTTTGCACTTTTCGACACTGTTTGGCTCTGTTTTGCACAGTTTGACACTGTTTTGATGTAGATTAACTTCCCATTTAAGGAAATTAGAACTTGTTTCTGGTACATCCAAAAAAGAAAAGTTAGAAGTTCATTGCGGGACGGAGACAGTATTTGATAAAAATGATGATGATTGATACCGATAAAGTAAAAAACAGTGTTACCAATCTTAACGGGCCATAACAAAATGAGAGGAGTAGATACGAATTTTCTATTAATGGTTCTAAATTGGTAATTTGCCTTATTTCTCTGGGCCCTTAAATTTTGAAGGGGGAAGTTGAAAAATTCAAAATCCCTCTCCAAAAACATTTGCGTTTTAGTGCGCCAATAAATCGACCCTCCCACCACTCCCAAAACCCAGACCACTCCCTCCACTGTTCATCTTCATCCTCACTTTACTGTTCTTCACTCTCCACCGCCGAATAGTCATAATGGGTACTCAAGTTTCCGACCTCCCCTGCGACGGAGACGGAGTCTGCATGGCGTGCAAGGGAAAACCGTCAGCAGACGAGAGCTTGATTTGCAACACATGCGTCACTCCCTGGCATGTTGCCTGCCTCTCCGTACGCCCGGAGTCGATGTCTGACGCTGTCCGGTGGGAATGTCCGGACTGTTCTCCACCCCCCACTGAAGATATTCATCTTGCAGTGAAGGCGGCGTCGGTAGTGCAGGCTTCTTCGTCGGCCGGCGACCTGATTGCAGAAATTCGGGCTATTGAAGCCAACGAGTCCCTGACCGACAGGGAGAAGGCCAAGAAAAGGCAAGAGCTCTTGAGTGGGGGCGTTAAGGCTGTTGAGGCCGACTCCCGGCAGAAAAACAGCTGTGGAAACAACGAGGTTCTCAATCTCCTGGATGAGAGCTTGAACTGCTCCATATGTATGCAGCTCCCAGACAGGCCTGTTACGGTAAGATTTAGCACGCGAGCGATGAGGTCGTTTCTTTGAAATATGTGTATTTAATAAATTTTATATTTAATTTGTACGAACGTTTCTAATTTGTTACGAATCTGTGCGTAAGCCTAGAACTTATGGGTTGGATTACGTCAGTAATATACGATGGAGTATCGGAGTGGGTGTGTTTGCTTGTGCTTTTGAAAAGTTAATTAATTTCATGATTTTGTTACAAATGATTAATAGTCAAATTTGTTGATCTTTTAAAATAAAAAATCGTTTCTTGTTATAGATAAATCCAAGCATACACATCTGACTAAAACATTACTTTTAGCTTTTTAAAGCAAGAAGCTTAGAACTGCTTCTCAGAGTCTTCTGCAAAGACTTCTTCAATGCAGTTAACATCTGAGCTTTCCCCCCTGCTGCATTTAAGTATGGATTTTGGGCGTCTAAAGAGGTGAAATGAAACCTCATTTTCTAAATGATGTTTTTTAATTTAGAATGTCTTACTTTTCCTCAATCGTTGCATGACTACTCATATAAAATTGGAGTTGAAGGCATCTTCTTGGCATGCGAAGCTTGCCTAATGACTCCATCTTGTAAGTCTAACTCATTTGTGCATCTCAAGGTTTCAAATCTACATTTAATGGCCCCAATGCCCTAGGCATTCTGGCCTATGGTAGAGGATTTGGTACCTAAATTATGCACAAAGAGGGGAAATGAAAATGTACTCTCTGTTTTCCTTGTAGAACTAACACACAATGTTTCATTCAAACTCACGTATGCACTTGTAATATATTTTCAGTAAGTTAACAATTTTTGATATTTGTAGTATCTATATGAATTGTACACTGTGTATGACCTCAAAGTTCTTTGTATTGATTGATTAACTTGCATGATGGATTTGTTGTAGACTCCATGTGGCCACAATTTTTGCTTGAAGTGCTTTGGCAAGTGGGTTGGTCAGAATAAGCTCACTTGTGCAAATTGTCGTGCTAATATTCCTCACAAAATGGCTAGTCAACCTCGAATCAATTCTGCACTTGTTATGGCAATCAGGATGGCTAAGTTGTCAAAACAAAACGTGTCCGAAGGAACTTCAAGAACGTACCATCTTATTCACAATCAAAACAGACCGGATAAAGCATTTACAACGGAGCGGGCTAAAAAAGCTGGAAAGTCTAATGCTGCAAGTGGAAAAATTTTTGTCACTATACCAAAAGACCATTTTGGACCAATTCCTCCGGAACACGATCCACAACGAAATTTGGGTGTCTTAGTTGGAGAAAGTTGGGAAGATAGGCTTGAGTGTAGACAATGGGGTGCTCACTTTGTGCATGTTGCTGGAATTGCTGGTCAAGGAGACTATGGGGCTCAATCAGTTGCGCTTTCTGGTGGATATGTAGATGATGAGGACCATGGAGAGTGGTTCCTCTACACAGGAAGGTATTCTCTGGTCTGGAATTGTCATCCTTTTTAGTTGTTTTCATATTTTTGATCAATCAAGGTTAGCTGCTTTTATAATTTGAGAACTTTTCATTTTGAACTTCCTGTCTTGATTGGTATTTGCAGTGGTGGAAGAGACTTGAGTGGAAATAAAAGGACAAACAAGGATCAAGCATTTGATCAAAAATTTGAAAGGGGTAATGAAGCCCTACGTCTCAGTTGCCGCAAAGGATATCCTGTCCGTGTAGTGAGGTGAGCTTCCTGTCGTGCAGAATTTATGTTGGACTATTGCCCGGAACATTATGCTTACAATGTTCCAGTATAGATTGAAGTTCAAAAAAGTACTCAGTACTCAGATTTTTTTCCATAATATTTCCTGAGTTTGAAATTTGAAACCAAACAACCTTAGAAAATATGTTTCTATATTTAATCTACCTGAAATACTTTTGGGTTCTTATAGACAAAGGATGCTTATATATTTATTGACTAAAGTCATAATCAAATTATCAAAATATATTTTTTATACATTTGCTCTATACAGAAGTTTAAAGATGTATATACTATAGCAAATTTTCTATATTTCGAAATCCAGAGATATACTATGGATGTAATAGAACTGTAATTATTCATGTATCAATCCTTTTCGTGATTTCCAGATCGTTCAAGGAGAAGCGGTCTTCATATGCTCCAGAGAAGGGAGTACGCTATGATGGAATTTACAGGATAGAGAAATGTTGGCGCAAAGATGGAATTCAAGTAAATGATTTCCCTGAATAGCACTCCTGATTCAGTTTATGTTTATGCACATTATTCAATTATTCAAAGATGGAATTCAAGTAAAGGAGTTCACACACATTATTCAATTATGTCTATGCTATATTTTTATTTTATAGGGATATAAAGTTTGTCGGTATCTGTTTGTACGGTGTGATAATGAACCTGCTCCATGGACAAGGTATTTCACTTTAAAAATCTCTTTTAAGAATATTTATTATTCTCCACAAAGTTCACCTTTTTACACATGTTCATATTCTCTATGTTATTTCAGTGATCACATTGGGGACCGCCCTAGGCCATTGCCTAATATTAAGGAGTTAAAGTGTGGTGCTATCGATATAACTGAAAGAAAGGGAGACCCTGCTTGGGATTTTGATGTGAGAGGCTATATTCAACTGTGACTTACAAATTAAAAAGTTTTTTTAATGTTTTGATCAATGACTTGATTGTTACATAACTCTTGCTTGTCCTTTTTGCCAATTACTAAATCAACACAACAATGACAAACACATATGTTTGCGATAATTATTTTGACAGTGGGCTGATTTGTAATGCAGTTTTGGTTAGCTCCTACTAGTTACGTCCTAATGTGAGACAGGGTATTGATATTTTTGTGCACTGAAATTTGAAATGGGATTATAATGTGAATCCAAACATTTGGAATTTGAATGACAGACTAACAGTGATTAATATCTTTCCCATTTTATGTATGATCAGATCTAGTTGTGAATATGTATATCAGTATACACCATATTTCTAAATTAAGCAAGTCATGCTGATTTTATACAGGAGGAAAAAGGTTGTTGGCTTTGGAAAAGACCTCCTCCAGCTAGTAGAATGCCCAACTGTGAAATGGATGAAGATGGAAATGTTGTGAAGAAAGTTAAGCCATCCAAAAAGAAAGTATCCATGAAGGAAAGGCTCCTAAAGGGTACATAACTTAATTTGCAATATTATACTGCATGCTTCGAGTTTTCTAGTTGACTTGGTTCTTATTGGCCTGAATGTATCAATTGAGGCAGAGTTCAGCTGTCTTATTTGCCGCAAAGTGATGGTTGATCCTCTCACTACACCGTGTGCCCATAACTTCTGCAAGGCGTGTTTAGAAGCCTCTTTTACAGGCCAATCTTTCATGAAACAGAGGACTTGTGGTGGAAGAAGGACATTGCGGACACAGAAGAATGTAATGGGTTGCCCGTCTTGCAAGAATGATATATCCGACTTCCTCCAGAATCCACAGGTAATGTTGCACTCAGTTTTTTTACTGTCTGGTGTTACCCTTCAATCACATATTCACATGTAATTATGTGCTGAACAAAAATAACAAATATTGGTTTTAATTAGCTTGTTTTCACATTATATGTGATTGTTGTGGGACTCAGAAATAAGATAGGCGCTAGACTATCTATAGTCTACTCAAACATAAAAATATCTGTATTTATGAAACTGTTCCTGATTTGAACTCAAGGATGAGTTGGTAGGTATTTTGACATTGATATCCATAATGGAGTTTTTCTGAAAAAGCCACAACTTTACTTTATTTGAGAAAATATAATGAGTAAAACAGTGCTTTAGATATTACTTTTTTGTATATTCCATCCCAATGTTTGTCTTAATATTTAATTTTATATTTCTTGGAATTCTTAAATTTTAATCTAAAATCTATTTGCTACCCCCTGTTTTGATATCACATACCTCAAAATACTGAATTTGATGGACATTTCTGAAAAATGAATTTTTACTGTTCAATTTACCACTTGCTTCATGATTTGTTACAACGTTGGTTGATGATATCTGAAGCCCGGTTCCAGATGGTTGCTAGTTTTAGATTTAGATTTATGGCTTTCAAAGTTACATGATACACACTTAACTCAACAGTGTTAGCTAAGAAAACTTCCAGTTAAATCAACTCTTTTGTGTGTTGTCTGTTGGTGCAGGTTAATAGGGAGTTGATGGCTTTAATTGAATCCCTCCAGTCCAAAGTTGAGGAAGAGAACATGGAGTCCAGCGAAGTTAATGTCAACTCTGATGGTGTAGATGAAGAGGGAAGTGAAGAAATTGAAGAAGGATGTGATGAAGAGAATAAAGAGATTTGTGATATGGATGAGGATAATATGAAGAACACAAAGGTTGACCAAGTTGAGAAGCCAACTTCTGAACAAAAACCCTCTTTGAAGAGGAAACTAGGCACCAAGGGAAAGAACACCGAAGCAACAGGTGAAGTTAAAAAAACCAAGTAAAATGCAGGGCACTGCAAATAAATGTATGCGACTAACTACTAAGAGTAGGGCTTAATCCAGTTTGGGTTCCTAGTCAAAATTGGATATCCAAAAAACTTAACAAGCATTTTTAGTTTTCTGGATATTCAAAGCCTAAACTGAACCATGTGTGGTCTTGAACCTAGTTTTTGGGGACTGAATTTTTGATTAGCTTTTGTGACAAACTGAATTGCTCTTCTAGTTTTAAAACATTAAAGCTTGCTATTGTGATCTATATTATCGCTATTTGATTTCCCAGTGAGTAGATCGCATTTTATCGCTATTACAATAAATTATACAAAATAATATATATCTTAAACAGACACTACTCACCAATTATATTACATTTTCACATTATGATATTTAACTTGCTCTTCCCTTAAAAAAAAGAACTTACTCTTCCATACAAATTTTGTCAAGCTTCACTGCTTGGTCGTTGGAAGAAACTTTACCATTTTCATTTAAATTAGTAAATTAGTAAATATGGGGTATAGGGAAGTTAATATTTTCTATTTTGCACAAACATACTATGTATATTATATATCATTACAGTATTAAATATTTTGCACAAACATATGAGTCGCACAATTATACATCATTACACTATTACCCTATGTCTGTTACATATCACATATGGATTGTTTTGCAAAACATATGCTTACTCTAAATTTCTATTATAGTTTGTGACTTTTCGGCATAAAACATAGACTATTGGTTTTTCTCTTTGGAAAAATCATGCAAAAGTAAGAGAAATGTAATTCTACAAAATCTGAATATTAACAAAAATTATGTTATAACAAAAATATTAACAAAAATTACAATTTTAACAATATATATACTATGTATAAAATACAACATAATTAGGAAAATATAAATAATGATTATTCAAAAAAAGAATATTCAAATGTAATCAAATATGCTAAATACAACCAACAATGTATTCAAATTGAATATTTGAACATAGGCGACTTGATTTGTTGAAAAACCTAAATATAGTCGAAATTTATTTTAATGTTTTATCTTTTTTTTTACATACGTTAGGGTATTCCATAGTATGGCTTTTAATGTGGTCCCTACTATTAGAACTTGTAATGTAGTTCAAATTGATTTCAATATAATTGCTAAATGAATTCCAACATTTATATCACTACTTTTGTGGTTGTTTTATGATATATATCTACCATGAAAGTTTGAATATACATAGTAAAAATCACATAAGTTCGCTTGATGGGGCTTTTGTGAGGCGGACTTCATTTTTGGCCAAAAATGAAACAAATGGTTCATTTTTGTGAGATTAAGAATTAGTTTTAGTCGTTAGACTGGGAAAAAATAATGAAAAAATAAGCTTGTTTTCATTTTTTATGATGAGTTAATTTTAACCTTTAGATAAGTATTAGATATGAAAAGTTAAGACTAATAGGAAAAAATTGGATCATTTAATTCATTTTTGTCCAAAAATCAAGTTCACGTGACGGAATAAAGGTTACATATCTTTTGTTGGTAAATGACCCTATACACGATTCAACTTTACTCTAGACACTAGATATACTTTAGAGTTTAGATTTTTATCCCATTTTAGAACTTCGTACGCTATTTATCGTGTTTTATAAGATACACTTTTTTTTAATTGTCTCAAAATAACCTTCTCCATTCTATCCAAGCCAAATCACGGTTAACCGGGTGTTTCTCTAGGTAAGCTCCAGTTAACCAAGGATGTTAAAGAGTTGATTCAATGGGATGCTAACCCAAATGAGACATAGCTTGAAGCAACCACAACTGGGCATCAAAGCCTAGATACAAAGAAGGTTAAAGAGGGAGGAATTCCTATTAGTACTCACTCAAATGATTTTAATAATGATGGGATGATTACTAAAGCCAGTGATGCTGTAAATCTGTATCTGGCAGTCTGGCACTGATACTATACTTAATGTTTAATGACTTCACACAACATCAGCAAAGTGAGGATGAAATAAATGAAATGGTTATGGAAAGGGATCCATAGATATTCAATCTGATGAGGATCTTACCACTAAAACCAAACAAATCTGATCTGGTTGGAACTTCAATGTCATTTCTGATCTTTCAGAATATAAAGGTAAAAGTGGTCCCTGCAGGGACTGCAGGTATGATATTAGACTCTACCTCCGTCCCAATGGACATTGCACTCTTGGAATTAGATGAAGAATAAAAACAATAAAAAATTGTTTTAAAAAAAAAGAACTTGTGTGGTTGAAGTTTGCGCAGAGCAGATAGAAATGAACAGAACCACAAAATAATTACTTTAATAGGAAAGTGACAAAATTTTTTGGGACAACCAAAAAGGGAAAGTTGGCAAAGTCTAATGGGACGGATGGAGTACTATACTTTAATGATATCATGTTTTCAACAGTCTGATTGAGCTTGTTTTTCATGGGAACCCCTGCACCTGGATTGGGAAGATGAGAGTCTTAGTTCTTAAGTGACTTGATAGAATTATGGCTTCCAATGAGTTTCTTCAAGTAAGTGGAACTTAAATCTTAAGAAGTCGAATAGGTTTTTCTCTGACCACAACCCCTACTTTTGCATTAAATCCTAGCCCTCCTAATGGTCCCAAAAGCTTCAAATTTCAGCACTTATGGATTAATCATAATGATTTCCTTATCACTGCTAAAACATCATGGGACTCACCTTGTGAAGCCTATATGTAATATTTTTTGCTAAACTTAAATGTCTCAAAACTGGTCTCATAGGTTGGAATGAGATCACTTTTGGAAATACTTTTAACAAACAAACTGATGCTGATGGATAAGTGTACCCGGGGTATCTATCCGAGGGGTTACTGCGGGGAGTAACTAGAGAGAAGCCAGAGCAAAAATAAGAGAGAGTAGATATTGCTGAAAATGCGTTGAGTGTATTGAACATGATTTACAAATGGGGAAAGGAGTGCTATTTATAGTAGTAATAAATGCCAGATAGGGACACGTGTCGTTATTCTGGTGGTCGAGGGGTCACCTCAACGGGGTGGCACTGGCACTCGCATGTGGCCGCATTAAATGCGGTGGTTGGATGTGACTCTGTACTTGGTACGTTGATCCAGCGCATGTGGGTGGGAGATTCTGTCGAGGAGACGCCTTCGGCCGTAGATGATTGGCTGAAGGCTCTTCATACCGGGGGCCCCTGGGTGCCGAGGGCTCTAGGTGCCGAGGGCTACCGTTTCGCTGCTTTCTCCCGGACACTCCGAGTACTTTAAAGAAGCTGTGTTGTGCATTTATACCCCTTCGACCAGGGGGGCGAAGGTACCCCAGTGCTCGTCGTGGGCTGCTTGGCACTTGGGGCGCTGCAATTTGGGCCTGCCATGCTTCCTGGGCCTGTTGGGCCTTTGCTACAGTAGTGGGAGTCTATGGGCCGGGGGTTCTTGGGCCATATACTCCATCAGGAGTCCCTCACTCCTTTTGCCGAAAGGTACTTGAGGGAAAAAGAGTAACTTGTGCTTGTCCTCTACCGTTGTTCCGTTGTAGCTTGTAAAGTTGTGAGGAGTTCTCTGTTTGAAAGTTTTTTGCCGAAGGCAGCCCCTCAGTCCCCCACATTTTGGGACTCGAAGGGTTGTGTTGCTGCTTTGGGGAGTTTTTGATATTTTGAGATTTTCCCGAAGGGGTTCTCCAGTCCCCCACTCCTTGAGGCATATGTAATGCGGTGAAGAGGAGTAGAGTAGTGTCCATTGTTATCACGTTGCCGAAGGCCGACGCTTTTCGTTTCATTTTGGGGGGATGACTCGTTAAAAACCTCATCAGAAAAAACCCTGTGGGAAAAAATTCTAATGAGGGAAAAAGAGTGCACCGAATTCGCCCAATGATGAATCGAAAAGGTGAAACCTTGGTCCGAAATGGATGATAGTATTCTTGCTGAGGGTTATCTTCGTCTGAGGGCGTGTGTGCTGATTTGCTGAAGGCACTTTGTTAATATCCCGGGAGATGCCGAAGGGGAGTCCCTCAATCCATGGGATCGAGGGCGTGATAAATGTAGTGGTAGTCGCTATGTTGCCGGGGGATTCTCTAGCTGTTGGCAAGTTGGGGGTGAGGGCACCCGGGGGTCCCGTTGTTGTATGTTGAAGGCTGTCCACCCAAGAGGGGCTTTAAATTTGATGTCCCCGAGGGGTCTCCTTATTGCGTGGCCGGGGGGGGGGGGGGGGACAATTGGTGAAGGTTCCCGAGGGGTTTACCCGTTGTTTAAGCCGTGGGCTCCTGAAGAAGAAAGCCCGAAGGCACTCGTGATGTGGCATGAGGGGTACTGGCCGGGGGCACCTCTGTGTTTTCAAAATATAGCCGTTGCAATCAGACCGTTGGCATACGAACGTTTTTAAAAAATAGCCGTTAGAGAGGACCTCCACGTGGCATGTGGCTGTTGGCTAGCTCCGGGCGGGTGTCACCGGTTGGCGGAAGGGACGGCGTGTAATGATGACTTTGTTAACCGGAGGCCCGATTTTGGGCCCAAGCCCAGATCTGGGTGCCTATAAATACCCCAAGGCCAAGCCATTTTCCTTGTGTGATTTCATTGTTAGCGAAGCTCTGCCAAAATATTTCTAGAGAGAGAAACTTGCCCTCGATCAAATCCTCTTTTCTAAGGTCAGTCTTTCACCCATTCCTTGTCATATCAGTAGGTTTAGTTTCGCGGCCTTAGATTAAGTGTTATAGCCTTAGGACTCTCATCCCCTGTACCCCGCGGGCAATCATGTCTTCAGCTAGCGATTCCCAAGACATATCGAGGGAGGATTCGGTGGAGGTGGAAAGCGTCTCAGACGTAGAATCTTCCAGCGGGCAGCCTTCGGTGAGCGGTGACGCAGCCGTAGCCATGGAAGTACAAAAAGACCTCGTTGCCGAAGCCGAGGCCGAGGATTTTGAGCAGGTGTGCGAAGATGAGGAGCTAGCCATCGCCTTCCAAGTAGCCGAAGATGAAGCACAAAAGGAGGAGAGGATGAAAGTTACAGTGGCCGTCCTCCCCGCACGCAATGCTGGGGAAACCAGCACCTCCCGGCCTCTGGACCCGACGCCTATTAGTGTGGCTCCTGGGAAAAAGAAGAAGACGAGGGCTGCTCCGAAGAAGAAACAAGCAGCCGTGGACGCCGGACGGCTAGTAGGTATTCCCGAAGGCCACTCCTTCCTGAACACCGCCACCCTAGAGTTGAAGACCAGGCCACTCAAATTGTGGTTGGCCCTTCGGCACGTGTGGTGGAGCCATGGGCCGATGATCTGCTACGATATGCACCCGAGGGCTGCTTCGCTGTTCATACCTTGTCAGTGAAGATGGGGCTCCGCTTTCTGCTCCACCCCTTTCTGCTGGAGTATCTAAGGTTCGTGGGGCTGGCCCCCTGTCAGCTAACACCCAACAACCATTCTTATGTGGCCGGATATCTCTCCTTGTCCCGGAGCCGAGGGGTTCCACCTACCCTCGACCAATTTTTCATGTCCTTCAACTTGTGACGGGGGGGGGGGGGGGGGGGGGATTCGAATGTTGAGGGCTTTGCCAACTTGCAGCAAGTCCCGGAGTTCAGGCTCTTTGATGATGTGCCTTCGTCCCACAAGGGATGGAAGGACAAGTATTGTTACATACGCCTGGAGGAGAACCCCTTTCCGGCCTCGCTTCGCAACAGCTTTTGGCGTCATCCGAAGGTAGGGAGTGCGGCCCTGGAGAAGAACGGCAGGATACTTTCCAAGAAGCCAGAGGGATCCGATAAGCACGTGAAGATCAAAGACGTCACCCTTTCGGACGAACTGTTCAAGCTTGGCTTCCGGCAATATCGGCCGAGAGGCTCGGAGGATGAAAGCTACCCTCCGATAGACTGCGTATTCGAGAGAGCCGAAGGTGATTACCGAAGGGGCATATGTTTTGTACTTGGAGGATTTTTCCCTTGTTTTTTTCAATCCATGTCACTATAATTGCTACCCCTCGGCCTAACCATTTTGCGTCTTGTCTATGGAGGTAATAATATGGACGTGAGATCTCTTTTCGCCTTGAAGAACGCGAAGGGGAAGAAGAAGGGTCCGGTGGGCGCTTCCGTCAGGGAGGAGTCCTCCCAAGCTGCTGCTGCCGGTGCTGGTGCCGGGGGGGTCCAAAGGTGCAGAGGCCACGAAGAAAAAGAACGATGGTAAGGGGACCGAGCCCCCGGCCAAGAAGTTGAAAGCCGCGGCCTCCGGCAAGCAGCTGGTTGCTGACGTTGTCGTCATTATGGATGAGGGGCACGCCTTCGGTCTCATCCCTCAGGAGCACATCAACCAAGACTTCTTCGGCCGGGAGAAGTTGGAGGCAATAGTGCCGAAGGGGGCATCCGTGTTGGAGGGTAGCCTCAACCCCTCGGTGCTGATGAGCCAGATGCTGCCCTCGGCCGATCGGCTGGCCCTCGCCAGGATGGATGAGGACTCCCTTGAAGCCAAGATTCTACTGAGCAGTGCCTCCGTGAGTCACACTCTTCCTTTTCCTTTGTATTCGCTTTTTTTTATGTATTGTATGCACTATGTCTAACCGTTATCCTTGTTGACTGCAGAACTTCATGGGCCTCTGTGAGTATCTCCGGAGGGTGGAGCAGATGAAGGGGGCCAAGGGTGCTGCTTAAGGGGAAGTTGACAGCCTTAGAAAGAGGCTGGCTGAGGCCGAGGATTCCCTCTGCTTGGCTACTGACAGCATGGAGCAGTGCAAGCTGCGAGGACCGAGGGGAAGAGCGAGGGGCTGGTTGAGGCCGGGGAGGCTACTGCCGAAGCCGCTCGTGTTGCTGCCGAGGAGGCCCATGCGGCAAAAGAAGAGACCGTTGCCAAGGCCCGAGAGGATGCTGTGGCCGCCTTCATTGCCGAGGGGTGGAAAGCAGAGGAGCAGAAGGAGTGGCTGTCCTCGGTGTTGGAGGCTTCTGTGGATGCTTGGGTTGGAGGCCACGACAAAATGTGGCTTGCTGAGAAGGGTGACTCCTATTATCAAGGTGGAGAGTTTTTTTACCGGAGGAGTTCCAGCCTGAAGCTTATGGTCTTCCCCCCGGCAACCAGACGTCAGGGTCTCGCTCCCCGAAGGCAAAGAGAGACCGGTCCTTGAAGATTCAGAGACCCTCCGGGAATGTGGCTTCGGTGGTGATGGAGATGAGGCCGAAGGCGATGCCACCTCCAAAGCTGTCGAAGGGGGTGACACCACGACTGCCGATTTGTGATTTGTACTTAGAACAATTCCTGATCCACCTTTGTAACAACATTATTAACTTTTGGCTCCGGTCCTTATGAACACCTTGCCCTATATTTTTGTGAATTGATGAATTGATGCCTCCAGGCTTTTGTATATACTTTGCTTTTATTTTTGAATGTATGCCTTCGCCCTTTCTTCGTTAATGAATGCCTTCGCACTCTGATGTTCTAGTCGTTAGTCGTTTAGGACATAGAGAAATTTTCTTAGTGTTGTTCTTCCACCAGGCCTTCAGTTGTGTGGCCCCTCAGGCTGCATGGGGGTTTGCCCGAGGGCCAAATATTTACGACTTAGAAATTTTTCTAAGTGTAGTTCTTCCACCTAGGCTTCGGTTGTGTGGCCCCTCTGGCTACATGGATATTTGTCTGAGGGCCAAATATTTAGGACTTAGAAAATTTTCTAAGTGTAGTTCTTTCACAAGCCTTCGGCCTACGCCTTCCCTTAGTTGCATTGAATGACTTGGCCTTCGTTGCATGATGGGTTGGCTGGGGGCCAACCATTTAGGACTTAGAACATTTTCCATAATTCATGGTGAATAGACCCTTCGATTTGTTGTATCTCGAGTAAGAGATCCCTCAGTGAAGGGTGGTGGTCCCGGAGGCACCCAACCTTCAGAACAATTTCCTTTGGCTCGTAAGCCTGGCCTCCGGCAATGCTTGAGGAGCCTTCGGCTTTTAGTATATCCCAAAGTGTGTACCCTAGGACTTTTGCAGTCTAATCCCGACATGATGCCTTCGGTATTGGATGATGCCGGAGGCAGCCGACTGTGGACTCAGCCATTTCTTGATGATATTTGTTGAGTACTAGCCTTCGGGGACCGGGTATCGTCAAAAGGTGTTCAATGAATAAGAATCTTTAGTTACCGAAAGTGTTCCACTAGGGAAGCCTTCGGTATGATGAAATTTCTTATAATGCTGAAGGGCGTTTTGATGTGAACTGTTGGAGTTGTGTACTCATTGATTTCTCGCTGAGTCTACTCCCTTTCACCCCACCTTTTTTTTGGGTAGTGACGGGAAGGCTTCAAGAAACTTGGTTTCTTGGTAAGGCTTGGCCTATCGGGAGGCAACAACATACGCCATTAGACCCCCTGTTAATCCCATAATTTAACAATCAAAACAACCATAGCAGTTATAGAAGAAGCAGATAGAAAGATATGGAGAAAATCAAACGAATCTGGTATACCGTGTAAACTGGCCGCTGCTCTCCCTGGAGAAGGAGAGCAGCGGCAACCCTAATCTGTCTCTATCTTTACGCCTCTGAACTCTAAGCCTCTGATGACGATTTGGGTTCCCGTAAGTTAGCCTCCTTTTATAGGAGAAGTTAGCTAACTTACGGGTTACAAGGAAGCCCACGGGCTGATACACATTTGTGGCCCGTATTACACGTTTAATTGATAACTACACAAATACATAGATAACTAACTAGATTGAACACCATAAAATATTCCCAACACCCCCCCTCGGGTTAACCTTCCGAGTTCCTAGGGGATCGAGGGTCATTTCCTGGGCATGAGACCTAGTCTGTAGCCTGCCTCCCCTTGGGAGATGGCACGGAAAGCGCCTTAGTTTTGAAAGTCGTTCCCTGGGCACGAGACATCAGTGGCGGAGCCAGAGGTTTGTCCAAGGAGGGGCAAACCAAAGACTAAAAATTTTAAAGTTCGTGTCCAAAATATAATAAGAACAACAATAGCGTAATAATTTAACAAAAAATTATAGTTCATTACATACTACTTGATTTACTTCTGCAACCTAGGCAAATCAATCCTACGAGTTTTCATATTTTGAAAATGCTGCAAAATAGCTTCATTATCAATTGCTTGAAAAATGTCTCTTTCGATGTAGCATACTAAGCAATCCGTAAGATAGTCATCTCCCATCTTATTGGGAAGATCTGTCTTGATAATATTCATCGCTGAGAAAGCTCTTTCAACTGTGGTTGTTGCAACTGGTAACACTAGAGCCAACTCAATAAGACGATAGACCAAGTGAAAAGATTTGTGAATTGTAAGCTCAACCATCTTCTTAGACACTTCACCGATACTTTGTAAAGTGGAAAATGCTTCATTTCCTCTCATCTCATATATCCAAACTTGGAGTTGTTCTTTAAGCTCCATTTGCTCAACAGCTGAAAAATCAGATGAATATAACTCCGCAAGACTGAGTAGCTTTGACTCACAGAAATTGGAAAATTTATCTTTAGGATCAAGGCAAGCTAAACAAGCGAGTAAATCTGTATTTGACTCACTAAAGAGATTCTCCATTTCCAGATTGACCTGGTCTATAACCTACAATAAGGTAATAATAAAAAGTAGTAGTAATAGTAATAATAATAATGATAATAATAATAACAACAACTAATAAATAATTTAAATTTTAACAAAAAATACCTGATAAAAAATATCAGCTCGAAAGTGATGATAATTTGTTACCATTCATGTGTACTTTCTGTTCGGGCTCTCTTGTCCCTCTCATTCCTCTCATCTCTAGCAATATTTTCATTTGACGCAATGACATTTTCAACACTAGAGATAGACTGATTAGGAACAATTGAAGAACTAACACCTCCAATCAAAGACCTCTTAGTCTTAATTACAAATTTATCCAAACTCATACTCCTAAATATAACAAAAATAAGTATGAATTAAAAATGTTCCTTATACAAATAGCATTAAATTGCATCTAGAACTGATATTTTAGGATTCACACAAACTTATTTTTTTCATTTTTGGGCTTAGGCTTTAGGATTGTCTAGGTGACTTGGGCTTTAGAATTGTTTTTTTTTTAATTTTTCTACTTAACCTTAGACTAGATGCTCATTTATCTCATTGACTCATTAATCCCCTTTTATTCTATATTCCATTTTTTTTACTTTTTCTGAAAATACTTTTTTATTTATTTTAACGCTTCATCTTAAAATAACCTTAAGTTGTACTTATTGTTTTTAAAATTAAAAAAGAAGCCGGGGCAAGAAACATATTATAAGTAATACTAGTAAAAAAAAATTAGTCGGAGCGGGGGCGCTTGCCCCCCCTAGCTCCTCCACTGCGAGACATAGTCCGTGGCCTGCTATACCCTTGGGGTAATGGCGCGGGAAGCGTTTCGTTTTTGAAAGTTGAATCCTGGGCATATTAGTTGCCTGCCATACCTTTGGGGCAATGGCGCGGAAAGCATTTCAAGGAAGGGTTTTCATTTGCCCACTGGTTTCAAATGGCCGGGGGCACTACGTGCTGCCGGCACCGATAGGAGGTGCCTTCGGTATAATGCGTCCTCGAGGGGTACGACTTTAGAAACAACACTTGTGTAAGGAATAAATGTAATTAGGTTTTGATGATGCTAGGTTGATTAGTATTTGAAAGTACCCCTATAGAAATTTTGTATTAGAATTTGCCTTTGTAAGTACTAGAATAGTCGACATGCCGGAAATCCTCTTGGTCTTCCTTATCAGAACTCCTACCAGAGTTGCTCCCCAGAAAAGCCATCAGAGTTGGATACCAGAGTTGGTATCAGAAGTTGCCATCAGAGTTCTGATCAGAAAACCTCATCATACAAGCTCTAACCTAGCAGAACTCGAAGGCACTTACGAACGGTCGTTAAACTAACGGGAAATCCTCTAACGGATAGGAACCCTTCGACGGGAACATGGTACTGTACACGCATTAAATGCTCAATTAATGTTGTACGTACGAAGATATCTCTAAAGCTAATGATTGACCATGCGAGTATCTTCGCGCCCCCATAATAGCAAGTCGAAGGTCCAACCAGTCAAGTCAACAGTACAAGCATTTAATGAAGCTGTCTTCTACACTCCAACGGGAAGACTGCTCCCAGTATATAAGATACACTCTGAAGAACTACCAGGATAACTTTGCTATACCGTTTGCCATACGAACTTGATCAGATCATTTTACTCTAAACCAAATACCTCCAAGCTTTCTTGAGATCAAAGACTTACTTACCTCAACAAGAAAAGCTCAAGTTGGAAGATATACTTTCTTATCCCTCATCCAACTAGCAAGTTGCAAAGTTCCTCAGTTCTTCAACACTTCGAAAACTTCATCTACACATCCTTTGTGAAGAAGCAACGTTGGAGAAAACTGATCTTGAAACAAACACTTCTTGAAAAAGAAGGGGCGTCTCAAACTAACTGGAGTAAGTGAAGTAGTGTTACTTCCAAGAGACTCAGTGAAACGAGACCAGCCATCAGGAAGCAGGACTGCATCCCGGGTGACAACTAGGCTTGAAGAAGACGTAGAGAGCTTCTTAAGTTCTAGGGACTAAGGCGTTGTAAACTGTTGTTTTTGCAAGCTTAGTGGAACAATGGACTAGAGGAACAAGTTGTTCCTTGAAACACTATAAAAATCTCCGGTGTCATTTACTTTACTCATTTAATTTCTGCACTTAAGAACTTGACTGCATAACTCAAAAGGTTGGACTCTGTGATCAGCAGATCTTCCTCAAGAGTTATC